CTGGGTTTTTAACATGAAATTGTGATTCTTGTTCAGCCCTTTCCACAAGTAGGTACCTTCCTTGATGAGACGTAGGGTCTGAGGTCCAGGCAGGCAGGGGGTCCTCCTTGTCCTGAGTCAGGTACCTAAGCTGACTCAGGGATGAGTCTCTTGACAAAGCTTCACATCCTGCTTTTAGATATCTATCCCCCACCCTATATGTTACATCAGGAGCCCACCTTTATCTTCTGGGTTTCATTCTGGGCCCAGTGTATAACACAAAACACCAAGTTGTGCACCTTGCCTAAATCAAGTCTATGTATAGCTCTGAGCCTACAGACAAGGGAAATGAGGTGCATTAGCAGGGGTAGACTCTCAGACTGTTTCAGTTTTTCCTGAATCATTTCTAATAAACTAATGGGATTTCTATTGCATGGCATTAACATCGCACCTTTCTTAAGTCCTGAGAGGAGATATGAGGAAGCCATAAAGAAAGAGTTAATGGCACCATAGTCTACAAAAGAAAAGAAAAAGAAGATTGTGTTCTGGAGAAGTAATGATCCAGCAGAGGCTGAAACATCCACTGTCATTTTCTGCTTCAAACTTCCTAGAAAGGTTGTTTATAACCAGATGTTGACAACAATTGAAACAGAACAACAGGATTGGAGCCACTGAGTGGAATAAGGGAAGAAGAGCTTAAAGAATGTTTAGATTAGTGAGACATGTTACAGCTTGCAGAACCAGACAAAATTCATCTGCAAGGGCTTAAGGACCCATCCAAAGCCATTTCTGAGCTCTTATCAATTGGTTTTGAATAGCTGGGGAATAAGAGAGGAATAACAAGGGAACATTTAGTGCATGCCTTGCAGGGAAAGCCAAGGAATTTAAATCAGTTTGCCTAATTTTAATTCTTGGATAGGTTGCCGAAACCAATTATAAAACCCTCCATTCATAATCAGCCACAGTTTAGTCAGTTTATAAGAAACACACTGCAGGGATTCATCAAGAGTAAACTGTGTCAATTAATTTCACTTTTTCTCCTTTAGTCTAGAAGTTAAAGGAAAGGGACTTAATTCTAAGAAGAGTTCGGACACTATCTTACAGAACATGCTCAGATGTGCATCAGGGAAACATGGTCTAGACTTCACTGTGAGAACAGAGTCCAGTTACCTGATAAACTGAAAGAGTAAAAGGTGGGCCAAAGCACTGCAAGACCCAGGGGATGTGTACTCAGCCCTCAGTCTGACCAGTATGTGAAAGAATGGATGATAGGGAAGGGAGTGCAGTTATAAGATATCTGAATAAAGCCAAGCTGTTAGAGCTTGCAAGACAGTTGGAAGGCAGGCTCATAATTCAAAATGAGCTTGATGACTAAGAAAAGTGTTCTGAAAAACTCAAGATGAAATTGAATAAAAAGCAGAGCAAAGTACTGAAAGCAGAAAAGGGAAATCAATGCACAGCTACATAGAGATCCACAAAGAAGGATCACAGAAGATAGCAGCAACAAACTGGCTCTGGAGAGATACTGTGCAGCTACTGCAAAGGAAAAAAAAAGGGGGGGGGGTGTTTTAAACTAGCTGTGAAAACACTTGAGCTGGAAATTATAAGAACATCTGTATCAGAGGATTAAGTTCTGAAACAGCTTTATAATACATGTGAAAAGGTCGGGAAATCTGTATAGGGTTCAAGATGAAAACGAGCAATTTCTGTCAGGGACTCATTAGAGGTTGTTGCAGGAGCACAGGCCCAGGCTGGGTGATCCAGGAGATTCCTTGATAATGTCTTTCATTTGCTTCTCTGTAAGACATAATGGGGTTACGTTGCTCTTGTAAGGCTTCAGCTGGAGCTGCCGTCATCTGTTCTGGGAGTCACACTTCATGGAAGACAGAGGAGATGGAAAAGACCTGGGACACAGCAACACAATGAGAAGTTTGGAAAATACATGAATGTGAGAAGAAGCTTGATTAATTTACAATGGAGAAGGCTGGGGAGCAGGCTGGGAAAATAGGATAGTAATCTTACAGCTCCAGTTCTCCATATCCCATGCTGGACAACCTCATTTGAAGCAAAACCAAGACAGAAATTACGAGAAAATTATAGAATTCAACTTTCAAAATAAAAGGATAGCTAAATATTCAGACGAGCTCCTTTGAGTGTAAGGTCTCACTGAGTGAGTCCATTAACCACGTGGCTGTCAAGAGTGGCTGGGGTACCCCCTCTGGCAGGAAGGTCCTGCGGTACCTAATCCACCCTGAAATCATGGACAGGTTCAATGGATCCCTTCAACATGATGCTTCTGTGAGTCTTGTTAAAATCAAGGTGAAGTTGTGTGATATGTACCTGAATCCACAATCCAACAGAAGAAATCTCCGAGAACTTGGAGTGAAACTTTCATGTTCCTCTGATCCCCACAGCTTCATCGCTCAAAATTTGCTCACACACCAGAGGTGCACAAGCAGTAAAATTCCAATATGCTCTCAGTCCTCGGCTGCAATAACATGGTACTTCTTTCATCATTTTCTTTCAGACATAGTTCAAAGAATTATTGTACTAGAAATCATTTTCAGAACCACATCAACCTTAGTCCTGCCCAGTACCCCAGGGTGTCTTTTTAGTTTGCAGTCCTGAAGTAAATTCTTCTGGAAGGTTAATAACTGGCACTGAAATGAGAGTGGAAAAGGTGATGGGTGTGAAGAGGGCGCTGCAGGTGTGCCCACAGTCAGAGCACTCTACCACTGCCCCCAATAAATTCTTACACAGACACTAAAACTTGAGGGGAGGACGAGGTACCCAGGATTTAACAGTAAACAACTGTCAAGGGAAAACAATTGTTTTACTCTTTGCAAGACTGGAACCACAGTGGGTCTTAACAGCAGACTTCAGAGTGTAATGATCTCTGTTCACTCTCCTAATAAATACTTTTTTTCAATTAGTCTGCCCTGTGCAATGGCTCTGACTTGTTGGGTCCTTTGAGTGGGTTAATGAATGTTCTCCCAGCTTAATGACTGCGTAACCTTGCCGCTCCCTCAACAAGTTGTTCATCACTGCCAGTTTTTTCCCCCTCCAGGAGGTTGTTTATCTGATAATCGGGGCACTGCTACTGGAGCATTTCTAAAAAGATTATTCTGCTAATTATTCAGAGATCATTAATTGGAAGGTGAAGCAGGCACTGGCTCTCCACTTTGAGCTCCCCAATACAAGAATATTCCTGTTACACAAAGCCCATGTTTTTTTCTTCTGCAGCACTTAATCTTCTCGCAGCCCTTGAAGGACGGTTTCAGCTCCAGCAGACATGCTTTGTTTGTAAGAAATGGAAGTTTTCTGACTTTTAATCAAGGATATGTTCAGTAACCACAGCAAGCTGAAGACATTTCTGTCTTTTCCCATGACAGACTGTGTCATGAGGGGGAAAAAGCAAAAGCAGCTGCCTAGCAGCTGCCCAGGGAATCCCAAATGGGCATCAGCAGCAGACACTGTAACTACTCACTCGAATACAGGCAGGTTTTGCTTGAAAAACTCGGATTTTCCTTCTTCCCTAATTACCTCAGGGGTCTGTAGAAACAAAGACAGATTAGAAGTGTCCTGTAGGTCAGGTAGGGGGTTTTAAGAGGCTGAAACAAGACCCCAAAGAAGGTGTACTCAGATAGGACAAAAGGTGAAACAGCCAGGTTTTCAGGTGATAACTAAGATGGTTTGGGTAATCAACTGTCATGCTGGGCAGGGGACTTCAGAGGGACCTTGTGGAGCTGGTGAATGGACGAGAGGTGGCACGTGAGCTTCAGTGGAGATAAAGTAGGTAATGCAGCTAGGGGAAAAAATAACCTAAACCTTGACAAGCACCTGAAATGATCAGTGGGACACCAGTTTAGAGAAAAGAAGGCTATGGGAGGATATGACTGGAATCTGCAAAATCATGAAGGTGGAGGATAGGGTGAATGCAGAGCTGATGTTCCCGGAATCCTGAGGCACTAGAAGTCAAGGATCTCTAGGTAATCAGTGGGAGACTGCATTAAACCCAGTAAGGTAGTTCTCTGCACAGCAGGCTGAGAACTCTTGAGCTTGATGCCATGGGAGCTGGCAGAGTCAGACAGGACCAGCAGGGTCAGAAAGGGACTGGGTAAATCCAGGAACAGAAGGATACAGATATTGACGTGGCAAAAAGAGAAGGTAATGTTAGGGATGTGCCACCTGCCATCCCTAATCCATCAGCTGAAGACAGTTGCTGGGGGAGTATAAAGGGACCGCAGAGAGAAGCTGCTTTTCCTGAATAAAGTCTACTGCCACTGTATTTTTGAGGTTGCTTTTAAATTACAGGTCAGCATGAGCTCAGTCTGCCTCTGTCAAAGACTCTGCAGTTGAGACTCCTGCAGCACAGCCCAAGCACCAGGGCTGAGCCCCATGTGGGGAAAATCACATCCCTTGTGACTCACCCTGCCAGGTGGGACAGAAGCAGGAGGTTTGCGTCCAGGAGCCCTTTGCTCAAGTGGTAGGACATTTCTTAAGGACTTCTGTTCTTATGGCAAAACTCCCTCCTTTTAGGAAACTGTTAAATTTTTGGTGTCTAGGCACAGCAGCCTTGGGAAAGTCCAGCTGAAGTAGCTGCAACAGTCTTATGTGAGTGCCCCCTTTACCACACACAGGTCTTCTGCTTATCATGATGGGAATCAACAAATGGAGAGTTGTCAAGAAGAGATCTTCAGAGCAACAGAAAGATCCAGACATCTGCACAGAGGGAGGGAAGTCTTCTCCAAACAAGGGATTTAGCCCTTTAGTGCTTTTGCTTAGTACAGCTATTGGTTAATTTTATACTTCGCTGAATTTACAAAGAAACTCAAAAACTAAATCCCTTTGGTTAAAAAACAATCCACCCTTTCCTTATTATTATGATACATAAATGACTTCAAATACATATTGCTGGATGAATTCAAATACGTAATATTGACTAAAGGAAACCTTTGTTTATTTAATAAGGGAAGAAGTAGTTGGCTACAAGAAACAAATTACGGAAGAGATGAGGCCTTGGTAATAAATGCAGGACTGTGGCTCCTCATTCTGTGAGCTGTCTTACTAAGGAAATATTGGTTTAGATGTGTCAACAGGGGCTCCCCTAGAGCCCGGGGACTGTTTGTCCCCACACAGACTCTGGCAGCTCAGGATGAAAGCATTGCCTAGAACTAAGTTTGCAGTGGAGTTATACTGAGAAAAGCTGCATGCCTGGCTTAACCTACTGGACAAGGCTCAGGTGAAAACCAGTACTCTAGCAGAGGTTTCAGTTCAAGATTGGAAACACAGTTCCCACAAAAAGCAACTTTAGAAACCTCATTTGGGAAGATCCCCAGCACCCAGGTGTCACCCATCACATTTATGAGCCCAGGGGCAAGCCGGAGGTCGGTGCCTTTGGAGGGTTGGCTCTCCCAGAGCACCGACACTGCACAGGATCATGCGGTGGCAGCTGCTGTAGAAGCATTTGGACCACTCACATTGTCAGTGACAAAGATCCAGAGTCAAGACCACATGGTGGGGCTATTAGAGGGACTAGAAAACTAGAAAAAAAAGGTTTTGTTAACTCCACTGCTCACAGAACAATCTGTTCACTCACAATGTGCTACGGCGAGTGAGGAGAGGCACTGAGGAAGGTGGTGTGACAGTTGTCCTTATCAGCACATCTCTTGCTGTCTGGTCTGAGCCTGGCAAGACCCATTGCTCTTTAAATCATGCTGTTTGTCACTAATTCTGTTTCCAGCCCTGTAATTGCTAAATATCACTTCATGCACACATTTATTTGCTCCACAGTTACTATCAGGCCAACAGCCATTAGTTACCCAAATGCTGTTTGCCCAGTCTCTGGACTGCAGCCTTGCAAGTTCATCGACAATCTCTGCAATTAAGAATGTAAGTTAAAAAATACTCAACCACAATAATAGAAAGAAAAAAGCAAATTATGGCTCCCTGAGGGCTCACAGTGTGCTCTGGCTCAGGTGGCTGCGACTCCCTTGTTTGCTAATGGAAGACAAGGGCCAGGATTGCAAACATACTGCCTCTGACACAGGAGGGCTTTGCTGCAGGAGCAGGTGTTTCATGGTGAAAGCCAGGCCTGATGGAAGCCAAACATGTGGGGAAGGGTAGGATCAACTGCACTTTACATTTTCTAGATGCTTCAGCCAATATTATTGTTTGTAACACTAAGAGGATTTGGAAAACAACTAGTTGTGTTTAAAAAAGGCTTGGAGAATGTACTCAAAGTAAGAAGACAAGAAACAACATGCTGAGGAGTAAAAGGTTTCTGTTTAATTTGTGTATCAGCTGCCTAGTAATGATAGTTGTGCAGAGGGACTTGGCCATAGTTCCCAAACACACAGAAATCCCTTCTGCCCCTTATGTTCCGTGTAAGTGAGAAATGAGATTATATCAAATTCATTCCCACAGCCCCAAGGACTGTTCTCATCATCAAGCACCACTGCTTTTTCAGTGCCTTCACTGCTGCCATTGACATTATTGATCCCTTTTGTTGGGCAGTGGGGAAGGTCGATCCCTCCTTCTGCACAGCAAAACCCTCCACTCACTTGTAGGGCCTGGTTACAAAGGCATTATGGAGACTGGCTGCAGACAAATTCTTGGCACCATGACTCACAGCCTGGAAAGAAAAATGTAACAGGATAGTAGTTCTGGTTGGTCTTTCAAACCACAAGCTGGAGGTTGGCCATGTACCCCCAAATCATGGGAAGAGTGGGCTGGAGCCACTGGTGAAGTTCTGGGCACATGATGTCTTCACTAGGAAAAGCTGGAACTGTTTGAGGCACCCAAGAGAAGCACAGACTGGCCACCAGCGTCTCAGTGCTAATTTGCAAGAATCTTGCCACCATCCCACAGGTGAGCCAGGTGTGATCCTTGGACACAGACTGGGACATACAAGGGACTTTCTTCTTCCTGCTGTCTGGGTGAAAGGGGATGCTGACAGTCCCTGGAGACCCACCAACCATGCTGGTTTGGAGACTACTGTGGTCTTGTAGCAGCCTCTGTCAGTGGTTCCCACTGCATTTTATTCAGGCACCTTTCCCCATCCAGAGGAGATGCGCCTCTGGACAGGAGGATGCTGACATCCTGAGACTCCTAGGAAAGATTTTTGTATCAAGAGTTAAGTGTGATTTTCAACAGGGATTCCCACCCATTGAGAAAATCACACTGTACCCTGGCCAGTGGCACCCTGGGAGGTCCTGCCTGCCTCTGCATACCAGCTTTGAACTCGCTGGGCAAACACAGCTTACTGGCTGCCTTCAGCACTGTGCACCTAACTGACACCATGGGGGTAACCAGTGCAGGCAGCAGCAGCTCCAGCGGCGATGGTCATCCCTGCTAAGGACACCCAATGCCAAACGGAGATAACAGAGACCAGCAGCCTTGGCACCACCTTTTTCCTCCCCTACTTTCAGAGAATTTGGCTTAATAAGAAGCATCTCCAGTGCTTCACCTTTTAAAATCAGCCATGTTAATAAGAAGCAGTGTTATCATTCGGGTAGAGCAGCCCATTGTTCTTTCTCCAGCCAAACAGGATTTACATTTGCTCTGCAGCATCTGCCTCCAAACTGCATGGGCCACTGCTCTGCTGTGGGCACTTGGTCCTCTCAGCGCCCTCCAGCCCTTGCAGACGGGCTCCCAAAGCGTGTGTACTTTCAGCTCATCACTTCAGGGTTCACTCTTGCCACAGGCAGCTGATTAGCAATTCTGCAGCAGCAAAACTGCTCTGCCGCATAAGCCAGGTTTAGATGGTGATCCCTTTAAACAGGAATGATCTCTGTCAGAACAGCTTGCTTAAATCCAGAGATAGATGCTCCTACTTGCACTAAACTGTTTTTCTGTGCATTAGCTATTTAATGGCATTAGCATAATAGGCACTCCCATTTACAGAGGAAGCATTTATCTGTGTGGTTTCACCAAAAAGTGGGTTTGATTAATTAAAAAAGGAGGACGGATGGGATTGCTGTGAGGATTTGAATGTAAATGCACTAGCAGATGCTTCCTGATCCTCCCAGCAGAGTACATCACTTTTAATAAACTCAGAACAGATGGCTAACTGTGGTGTCAAAGATGATATGTATCAAAGTGCTCTGTGGTCCCCTCCCAGCCAACTCCATCCTCAAGCCTCAAAATTCAGAGGTGAATCCTTACCTGCAGCCCTCTGGCAAAGCTCCCTCCACATCAGGGGTGCTGTGCTTACTCATTGCAGCTGAGCAACCTTCCGGGGGGTATGCAGGGTTTCTGCTTCACCAGTCCTGTGAAAATGCAATAGAGCCACTTGCTGGAATGCAGAGCACATAGATTAATTAGGCTGCACGAAAAGCAGCAAGAGGTAAAGTACATCTAGTTAAAAGTTTGGGTGTTCCTCTTCTTTCACCTCCATGGGAGGTCCTGCTGACTGCAAGCAGGAAAATCTCCTCTTAGTTCGAAAAATTGTTGGCTTGAGCCAAACCTGCAGGACTGAAGTGACTTCTCCCTGAAATGTTTGGTGTACCAAAATTGACACTAAAACTGTTTATGTGTTCACCTTATCTCTTCACCAAAAGACAGGATGAGGAATACATTTAAAATAAGAAATTATAAAAAATTAATAATTAATGCTTTCTTGGGTTTTTCATTCCTAGGTCCCAGAGCCCTTTCCAAAGACATGACGTATCACTGGAATTTTGTCTAAGAAGCAAACTGAGGCACAGAGCAGTTAAATGTGTTGCAGTGGTCATGTGGGAAGGAAACAGCAAAGCTGAGTGTAGCAATTAAGTCCCCAACCTTTTGTCATGGGCTGAAATGTTTCCCCAATTTAAGCATGCCCATTACCCAAGTAATGATCCAAACCATGCAGTGAGTCGCCTGACTCCTTACACCTATTTGCTGCCCAGTGCTGCTGCTGCCTGGTCTGGCTGCTGGTGGTAATTGTAGGAGCTGCTGGCTGGCAGTGGCAAAGTCTGTGTGACTACTGGCAAGTGAAAACAAACTGTATGATTCACTAGAAAATGGAAGACAATTTTCTGACAATGGGGAGATAAGTAGGTTTTTCCTTGGTCTATCACTAGGAAGAGAGAATATTTGTCTTAAGGGACTGCACAGCTCAGGTGTTGCTAGTAGCTATTTCAAAGGCCATAGAGGGAAGACTGACTTCTAGGTATCTTTACCATCTGCAATTCAAGCAATATAACCAAAGGCAAATGCAGACCTAATTCCATAAAATGAGTTATGTCTCATGACTAGTGCTGGAGATGGAAAATGTCTGGGGTCTAGTGAGCAAAATTTCCAGTGTGAAACTCTCATGAAGATAAGGGCTGGCACTAGGAAGCTGTACTCTGCGTTCATGGTAAGAAATCTGGCCTTGGTGCAGCCTAGTAGGAAGACATAGGGGGATGAAATACTAAGCAGAAAACAGATCGGAGCTGAGACTGCTATTGAAACACACCATTTTTAGCCAAAGCACAACACAAAAGCATGTGCATATTCAGCAGACAGTATGGCAGACTGGCAATGGCGCCCAGGGGAACCTTCTGGAGAGGATGATAAATCTGGAGCTCAAAAAATCCTGATCCAGGTACCTGTTTACACTGCAGACCTACAAAGGCTTGGATGAGCTATACTGGGTCTAGGTTAGAGAGGATGCCTATAGCAGACAAGCATGTACAGCTGAACATCCCAAGTTGCACATTAAAGATTAAAGCTGATGAAACTTGTCTGGTGTTGGTGAGGATGATGTAGGGACATAATGTTCAGGGTAAGTAAGTGCAGGATGCAATTAAGTCCTTTAGAATTAATATCAAGTAACGGGATCGGAGGTTTTAAAGAAAAGTGGATGCATAATAGAGATGAGGTAAATAAAATGTCAGATAGGATATTCTGCACAGGTGAAAAGAAAACACAGATAATGGGCATTACTGAAAGAAACTGAGACTTTTGGATGGTCTTGCCCAACATTTCCACATGTGTGGATGACATGGTCCTTGGCCACCATGATTCCTGGGTACTGCACAACGTCCCATGGCACTGGGGATAACCATCAGCCAGTCCTTCCTATTGCCCACTTCAATAGACACCTCCTATAAAGCTCTGTGGCCTCTCATTTCTTGTTCAAAAGTAAAATTTTATTGTATATTGGAGGTATGAAAATAAGATAACTCTAGTGTGATAAATACTGGGAAGGTTAAAAATACTTCATAAAACTTTGTCTCTGATGGTAAAATGGAGGTTTTGCTGCTGGATGAATGCCTGTCTTGGGAAGTTCTTTATTTTAAGCATCCATTTATCACTGTAACAGGGACCATTGGCTCCAAGCATTCAGTGACTGCAAAATGAACTTTCCCATGAGTACAAACTCATCATTCAGCTCTAATGATCCAAAGAAAAATTTCAAACTAATCCATACAAGAAAAACGGCAGTGTCATCCTGGGATGTTAAAAGGACCAGAAACACCATGCAAGGTCACCCCAGTAATATGGAGGAGCTCTGTAGTTTCTTGAAGAAGCACCTAATATGTATCTAAGGGTTTTGAAGCAAAGACCGTTGCTCCTGTTGAAATAAATGGCCTGTTTCTGGGTCATTCCAAAGTCCACATGAGTCCTATTGAAATCAGGAATGGATGTGATGGCTATGGGTTAACAAAAAAGGAGGTTAGAAAGGACATCAAGCTTCTCGTTATTCACTTGATGATCTTGTCAATACTAGTAAACGTATTCCAAGGTCATTTCTGGTGGTAAGGGGATACTTCTAATCTGGAAGATGAAACTGAAAATATCAGTACCCTTCAGAAATGGGGACAAACCTTCTCTTGGTGGATGGGGCGAAGTGAGGCACAGGGTGGGTGTCAGCCTCTGGGCTGGGTAAACAGAGCAGGTGGCATAGCTGAGCCAAGACTCCTGCTCATTTTTACTCACTGCCACCATTGCCTTGTTTTGTGGTGGGTTTATTTTACCCCTGAGGGTCTGACTTCTCTAATTAGCTTTTTTTTTGTTACATAGGAATGATACATAAAGATTTTCTTTTTTCATCTCTGGCTAAATAGAGGATAACAGCTTCATTAGACAATTGAATACTCTTCCAATCAAACAGCAATATGTTGTCCCCTGGGAGCTTTCTTTAACCACAGAATACAAGCAGCTGCTCTAATTGCTCTGTGCTTGAGGCCCACTGCAAGGGTAACCAGGGCTGCTGCTTTTCCTGATAGCATCTTTGGAGCAGAGCAGACCAGGAGGGAGCTTTGCGTTTCATTCCCCTGTTACAGAGTGGATTTCCAATAGGCCCCTCTGGTTACCTACATATTCCAATTAATGAATCTGCTCTCAGAATATGAATAACTAATTTCTTTGCTTAAGTCAAGTAATAAATCCCAGAAGGTTGATGGTTTGAAGCACTCAGATGAAAAACTTTAAAATAAAATCAAATGAAATAAAACTGGAGTGCCTGTGATACCCAGGAGTGTGTGAATGGAGGTGCAAAGGTCAGGGCTCAACACTTGATTCCTCTTTGTGGCTGTTGTACAGTGTGTACCTGTTGTTTATAAAGAGTTAATACAAACTTCATTAGATGCAGTAAGCATGTTAAAAACATGAGTAGCCTCTGCTCCAGATGGCTATAAACATGCCAGTTGATGGTGGTAGAGATGATCTTCAGTTATAAATAGAGCTGATAAAAATATGTAAAAGTGTTTCTGCAAAATATTTAATGAACCAAAGGTGTTTTCAGTTCAAATGGTTTGAAATATACATTCAAAAAAAAAAAAAAAAAAAAAAGAAAGTTTGACAAAAACATCCCATTTCACTTCTGGTTTCATTTGTTAATAATATGATTGAAATAGATATTGACAATGTGTATTGATCAAAACCCCCGTAAAATGGACTGCCAGTCAATTTTCAAGAAGGAAGCTGAATTGCTCTCTGAGGCACTGATTCCACTGAGAATTTCTACACAAATGATTCAGGGCATCTTTATCATTGCTAGGCTTGCACCTATTTCTCCACATTTCACAAGAAATTCAAATCAAGTGAGATCTGCATCTACATATATTGTTGTTCCTACTGCTCTGTCTTCTAAAATATCAGTTTTAAGCCTGTAGCATCACCTTTTGGATATTTTATAGCTTCAAAGCCAGAGAGGCATATGGTTTTGTCAAGCTGAATCTACTGAAGTGGACAGCAAGTACCGTTCCCATGTCTGGTAGCAAAGGAAAGAGAAACTGGTCAACATGTACATCAACAGCATTGTTTTGACAAAATAAATCTCTGAAATCATGGAAGAGTTCCCAGGCAGTTGTGCTAGTTTGTTACAGTTCCTTTGAAGGAGGAGAAGGTTCCTGTTAAGGTTTTGCAGGAGAACTTGAGCTGCTGCAGATGCCACTTGTGTACAGATCAGAGTGAAAGTGAGTAATGATGTGTCAGCAACAGTGCTGGGGCTGGCAAAGGACACTCAGGTCCTTCATGTGGGCTCCTGCTTTCACATCTGCAAGAGCTGGAGAAAGCTATAACTGTCATAAAATGTAGTTTAGGCTTATGTTATTGCAGCAGGACCCATATCAGACAAAGAAAACATTGGGAGGCAGGAAATATCCTTTCTCATGAAAACTGATGGGAGATTACCCCCTGAGAGATTACCGCGTAAGGAGAAAACTGATGGCAGAAGGTCCTTATCTCAAAAGTAAATGAAGACCCGGGAAGAGCATGATCTTCCATCTCCCAAGTGAACATATTAGTAGATTTTGTCAGCAAGAAGCTTATTTGTTGACAACTGATACACATAATCCCTTGTGCTGTGAGGCAGCTGTGTGGAGACGTGGCCTTCTGAGGCACTGCTGCTCCACAGGGTTTCTGCACATATGATCCTGAGCCCATAAACAGTCTGGAAGTGACCCAGGCAAGCAACAAAAGTCCTCCTCAAAGGCTGGTGTGGCAAAGAGAGCGGTGGGGACAACCCCTCTAGCAGCACTTGCAAACAGCCTGAAGCAAATGGGGACTTTGACCGTAACTGTTTTATACACAGCGGGTCTGCAGGTCTTTGGCTACCCTCTGCCATGTGTGAACCCTAGTCACACAGAAACCTGCTTCAAACCAGAAACAATTTCATTTCTTCATGAAATACAACTTTAGATGAGCTGTGTTGTTTAGCTGTCTGTTTTCTTTGTGTTATTGGACCTGTAAGACCACAGGGAACATCAGTATGACTTGGCGCCAAGTAAAGCAAGTTGAAAAGGAGCCGGTACTTCTCGAAAGCCAAAGAGCTCACATATCCTTGCAGGGAGGGCCA